TGTCAGGAATATATTAAGAACTACGGAACTGTGCACTTTAAAAGAGTGAGTTTTGTGTCCTGTGAAAGATAGTTTAATACGGATGTAATTATAAAAAGAATGGACTCTGAAATCAGCCTTCTTGAGTCTGTAATTCAGACCCCCTCACTACTTGGACCTTGGTTAAGTTGCTGTGGCTCAGTTTCTCCATCTCTAAATAAGGACAATAATATTAGTTACCCTATCAGGCTGTCAAAATGCTTAAATGAGTTAATACATGTCATCACTTAAGTCAAGCCCTGATTAAAAAGAAATATTTCATAAACAAGAACTTTTTTTTTCTTTGGAGTTGGCAAATAACGTTTTCAATTCTTTTTTTAACATAATGATGTGCGTTCAATGTGTATTCTAGGTCCTCTTACCTAGATAGATCTCGTGGTCTAGCTCCAGGCAATTTCCTAAAACCAATTTGGACTGAAAGGTGGTTAATGAGAAAATGTTGGAAAATAAGCATCTCTGATAACTTGCCCATAATTAGTAATGTGGATGCATCATGGGATGATTTTACAAAACTTTAAGCATCTTTAAGCGATTCTGCCTATATTCATAATTTTTATTCTATATTATTTTATTTGGAATTCATTTTCAGGTCATTCTGTTTCAAAAACAGTGATTAAAATGAAGCCACTTTAACAATACTATGTAACAGTCCAACTAGCTGGGTCATACAGAGCATCTAAAATAATGTAAAGGTGAAACCGTCTAAATTTAAAAAAAAAATGTGCCTTTAATAGGTGAACCCCCATATGAGTACTACGGGTGCAAAGAGAATGAATATTACAAGTTGGTTAGAGCAGGTTTCTAGTTGTGGGAACTGGTTAATTCATGCTCTAAAATTTGCTTTGAAAGAGCTTTGTTTATAGATCAAGACCACCCATTGCAGCACAGAGCTTTTTTGGTTTTTGGTTTTTTTGCATTTTTAAATTTTTCTAACTAATAGCATTTATTCAGTGCTTGCTCTGTGCCCTGCACAATGTTACATGCTGCAAAACAAACAAATACAAAATAGATCAGACACTGCTCCCCGGATGGAGGGTGAATTCTGATGGGGGCAAGCCAAGAGGAGGGTGCAATCTTCCACCCAGAATCATCAAATTGTAGTATGTTGGCTTCAGTAGAAGGACGTAATGCTTTCATTTAGAATAAGTGAAACCTTTCATTGAAAAATCTTTCATGATCCTAGTAAGTGCCACCATCTCTGTCTTACAAAATTGTTTCTATTTCCACCATGACCTTTGTATAATGAGGTGATCAAGGGGAGCTCTTCCAAGGCGAGGCCAAGCCACGTCTTCCCGCGCCCATCTGAGTGAGTGCTAACTCTCCCTCCTCCCTGAGCCCTCATATTCCTGCTCGCTATTTGGACTGCAGCTAAACACTGAGCAAGCGTCTTCATTAAACTGTCCACAGTGATTCATAGCTGCCTTTCCCCAGAGGTTACACATAATTCAGAACCCGTCTGCACACTGGGGAAGGCAGCTGAAATTGCTCCTTCCAGGATCTGTTACCTTGCTTTGCCCACCTAGAATTTCATTTGCTACTTTGGGGTCCAATTATTCCACCCAGCTGTGAACTTCCAAGGTTGCTCAGCCCAGACCCCTCCCCTGAACAGCTAAGGAGCCCAGGCCATGGTCTCTGTTGGTGTTGACAGTGGGTTCACTCTATGCAAAATTGCAGCCCTCGTGAGGTGGGGTGCTCTCAGAGGGGAATATCAAACTTACAGGGGACTTAGGGTGGCAAATCAGAAGTAGGAAAATAAAATAAGTAGTCTGCCCTTGCTGTGTTAATAAGGGGAGAGGTGTTAGAGCAAGGAACAGAATCCAAATGTGTCACTCCTGGCTTTGGAGTGCGATGAGCATAATACACCCTCTCACACATTCTCTAGCTCTCCCTTCTGCTTTTGGCATGGGTGGAGTTGATTGGCTGAGTCATGAAGAGGAAAGAGGATGCACTGGGTTGCAAGACCTAATGAGACAAATCCATTCATCACAAACCATACACCATTACAACCTAAATGTTGAAGAACAAGTGATGGAGAGAAAGGGGGTATCTCATGGTTACATTTCCTTGGGGGAGGAAAGTGGACTTGAGCCACACACAAAACAGCAGGGAGGGAACCAGGCGGGGGTGGGTTTGTGGAGGGAGGTAGTCCAGGGCTTTGAAGGAGGTCAGTTGCTCCTGAAACCCTTGCTAGGAGATTCGTTAAGGCACATGTTGGCAGCTAATGCTGCACTGACCGTGCAGAGGTCAGCTGATGTCTAGCAGATCACTCCTACCTTCTCTTCCGTCTCTGCTCAGCATCTGGGCCCCCACCCTTACCTTCCTTGCCAGTCCTGCAGCTCAGGTAGCCCCTACTTCTTACCAGCCACTAAGGTAAGGTCATATCACTAAATAAAGAACTGAAGTTCAGAGAGGTGAAATCATTTTCTTAAAGCCACACAGCAAGCAACTGCCTGAGTTGGAGCTTGACATAGGGTTGTGGCTATGATGATGGTGTGTAGTGTGATGTGTCCAGGGACAGCTCCACTAGTCTCTGCAGTCTGGGAAGGTCTTGGGCATACTCTTGGTTTTCTGGAACACCTGTGGCTTTTCAGGTGCTCCAGTGTGTGTACTAGTGAGGCACAAGTTCCTGTTTTCATCTTTAAAAATACCCCAAAGTGACAGAAATAGCATAATCATCTTAAGACATGAGCACCCCTCTTTTTGTGACTGCTTCAGTGTACCTAGGTGGATGGCAGCATACTGTCTCCATGAACTTCCAGCTATGGAAGGAAGGCAGTAATAGCAGCTCACATTCGTGAGGCACCTGTTCAGCTCCGGGCTGAGTAAAGTAGGGAATTTTGTTGTCTCTAATTTAGAGGAGAAAAGATGCACAGAGAGGTTGTGCCCTTCCCAAAGTCATGCAGATGGTCAGGGGCAGAGCCAGGCCTTGGCCTCGGACCTGACTGAGCTCCTAATCCCTGTACTTCATGTTCTGGGTGTGTTGTGAGTTTGGCAGTCCTCAGCCCTTTGGTCAGTCAGCATTTATTAAAAACCTGCAACAAGCCAAGATAGGGGAGGAAAGAGGAGCCCAGGGCAGTGGTTTGCACTGGAGGGAAGGTAAGGGTCCCACACCAGGGAGCACGGTCCCAGGGTGATAGAACTTTTAAGGAAGGCATCGAAAGAGCAAGGGATCAGGGATAGAATTCAGAACAGGGGGCTGAAAGAGCAAAGGGGTGACCCAGAGCAAAATCCAGCAGCCACACAGTTTTATATCAATTCTGTTTAGAGCCTTGGGGTGTTTGTGGGGTCCCCTATGGGAACTTATGAAGGAGAAGTATTTGAATTAAGAAGCAGGAAAGAGTAACTTTCAACTGTAGTTGCCTGCAAAGGTATTGAGAGAAAGGGAGAGAGAGAGAGAGAGAAAGGGAGAGGGTAAGCAAGGGTTATGGAACAGAGAATGCCAAATATTTCTCATTTTGCCATTTTTAACTATCACGATGGGCTTTGGGGAAAGCTATTTTGGTCTGCTTCTGTTATTCTATATACACACAGGGCTGCTATACTATAACTCTGCAGGCTTAAATAATTCTTTAAATTTCTGTTCAGTTTATGGATGTGAGGCTCTGCTTTGACCGTGCTCGCCAGCTTACCTGGGCTCCACTTATCCCCTTCCAGTGAACTGTGTTGTTTTATATTCCAGTGGTTTTCTTCTTTCAATACTCTCCAAGGAACATTTACCAGTCCTGGGGAGGTTAACACTGCTCCTACAACTGTGACTCCCTCCTCTGACACAGGGGAGTTCAGGCATTTCTGACTTTTAATTTTAATTAAAATGAGCTATGACTTCCTACCATCACCACTTGGATGCTTTTACCACTGACAGTATTTTAGCTTTATTATTTGTAAAGAAAAACTATGAGACAAATTTTCGGCTTAGAAATTCTACCTAGATCAAAGCCTGGCAACAGCTGACATCATGCCCCAATTTCCTCCCATGTAGACCTTCAAAAATACCCTTCCCATTTGGGTTTAGAATTTTTTTTAACCTTCTAATTAGTGTTTTGATTTGAACTGAGAGGGATTCTTAGGAAAAGTAAAATTTCTTTGGGATCTCAAACTCCCATGTCATGTCATAGCCATTCATGGCAGTGAAAGGACCATGTGGTTGGTATTTGGAAAAAATTTTAGCTTTGCTTCCATTTCTGTCTCCGGATGAAAGGTGAGGATATAATTGAGATGAACCTCTCTCATCTTTACCTTCAAAGAGCAATCCTGTATTGCAGAAGTAACAAAAAAGAAAGGTTACAGTTGAGGGTCAGAAGTGGTTGGGGGTTATCTCCAACTTATCAGATGTGTGAGTTTGAACAAATTTCTGTGGGCCTCAGTTTTCTCATCTGTTAGTGGAGATTTTTAGTCGCACCCACCTACCTGATAAAACTGTTAAAAGAATAGTTAAGATCATGCACACACAGAGACTAGTACACAGTAAATGCTAATAAATGCCAGCTCTATTACTCCTAGGGCACTGGCACAGAGCTCTTGGCTCCAATACCTCTGTCATCACCATAATGTTAATGTTGGGATGTTAACTAAGGCAGAGAGAACTAGTATAGCCACATGTATCAGCTAAAACCATGGCCTTTTTTGGTGGTTGATGTTAAAAATAGATGCTTGATTGTTATTATGAATAAAATCAGCACATTGTACCCCACATATGCATGAATGTATTCATGATCTATGTGTATTTGACTTAATAAAATAAAATTAAAAAATAAAAAAGAACACACACCTGTTCAGTAACTTTTCTAATTCATTAGCTAAAAACCAAAACAAAAACTTTGGCAATCAGACATTTCTGCCTATGCTATTGAATGATCCTTAAGATAGAAGGAAAAGAAGTATTAGACTGAGTCTGCTGTGTCATAAATGTATAATGTCACTATAATTTGATATCAGGCAATGACCTTATAAATCAAACTCACCACACTGAGTCCTTGGTGAGTTTGGAATTCACCTTCCCATTTTCTTCCAGGAAGATATCCAATTGCAAATTGGCATCATTGTCGTGGGCTGAGAAATAATTGGTAACAACTCTTGCTGGTATTCCAAGGCATCGTAAAACTGTAGGAAAGAAGGACAGAACACAACTCAACTCATCACCAGCATTTAATAAACACTTAGTGAAAAAAAATCCCTTCTCTCATGGGGCCTTCTTCTTTGCCAACATGGAAAGCCCCTTTGGACAAGTTGTCCTCAAAATGTTCCATACTGAGGAAGAGTGACCATTCAATCCCATGGGGGGCTGTAGAGAGAAATTTGGTGCAAGAATAACAGTTGGTGCCAAATGTAGCCAAATGGAACAGAATCCCGGTTATAGGACACTAATTGTTAAGTTTCTAATCACATGATCATCAGGGTAATATCATTTTAGATCAGTGAATGGGACTATGTTCCTGAAAATAAAATTTTAAAACTCCAGTGAAATGGAAGTTAGGAAATTACAGGGCAGATCCTCGGTGGCATTTGCTCTCCTGGCTGGAATTTGCTCTGTGACTCTCAGTGGAGGGTGACACTGCAGATTCATTTTAATTGTTAGATAATAAATTACCTGAATACATCTCTTGCCATATGTACCTATTGATTAAACTTAATTCAAATGCCCTCCCTGGCTCCCTGGACACCAGACATCAGGGCTCATTGAAAATAATTCACCTGACAATTTTAAGATTAATGACTTGGCTTGCCTTTCTTTTTTCTCCTTCAGAATAGTTTAGCATTTTTAACCAAAGATTACCCACCTCCTTTAACAGAACAACCTTGGAAATCCAACTTGAGTCTAGTAGAGACTCAAGTGTCCTCCTCCTTAAAGGGCTTGATCTTAACACCCCAAATGACGACAGCAGCAACCACCAGCCTCCCTCGCCCCTCCTCTATTTATTTGCAGCCCCTATTCACCTACACTCTTAACTAATAAAACCATTGCTACTTTTGTTCTCTTTTTGGCTGAATGTTAATTCACATTATTATAAAACAGAGTTGGGTCAAGAGTATAACTTCGTCAAGATTTTAAGACAGGTGAAGGTTGACTTTGGAATATCTACTCCTCCTTTTTCCAAATTCCCTGCTCAGGTTTCCTCTCACTACAGCATCTCCACAGTGTGTTTCTGGCTTTTCTTTACCACCAATGCCTGTTTTCATGTGATGATTCTTTTATACCAAAGGCATAGATGGATGTAAAGTGCTTGCCATTTTATCTGATTCTAAGCTGAAAGAATCACACTGGGGTAGCACAATTGTAGGCCTGGGGAGGACTTGGGTATTTCCTGGTTTCCCAAAATCATTCCACAGGAGTGACTGCCTCTGTTGGGCAGCTTCTTTCTAATCTTGGCTTGGAAGGTTTCAGGGAGGGGGACAACCTCAAACCTTTACCCCAATACAAAGTTCAGGCTTTTCGCTAGAATTTTGGAGACCAGTGTTTCTAGAAGACTGACACTTTGGGTCTTTGTTGCTTCCAGAAAATATATATTTCTTTAGGCCTGAGTATATTTAAGCTTATTTAGTTCGATGCCACAGGGAACAAATCTCATATTTTCTTTCTATTTGGATCACTGACTAAAGCTTGGACTATTACAGCTTTGAGCTAAAACTGATAGTTTCCTAATCATATTTTAAAATTGTCTTACTCAAGCCTCCAGCCCTCTTTGGTTTAAAAAATGCTAACTAGGTAAAACATTCTTTATTAATGACCAAGCAGAAAGGACACTCTAACTTGAGTTTAATGTTTCTCCAAGGCTATAGAAATGGCATGTGAACGAAAATCATTACCAAGGATGAAGACATACTGAAATAAATGTATTTTTTAAAATATTCACTGAATTAATTGCAACATCATCTGGGCCTAGAGAGTCAAATGCCATTTTGAAAAATGATATGCAAGGCTGAAGAGAATAATTTTCTTCCTGTATGTTCTCCCCTGCAGATTAGATGTTGGGTGGATTAAAAAGTAGAGAGGAAGCTGGGGAGGTAAGATTGTTCATTACATTCTGATCTCTAATTGCTCGGGGGCATTAAAATGTGTCAAAATGAAGATGAGGTTACCTGCCATAATCCCTTCCATATCTGTGATAAAAATTTAGTGGACATATTTACAAAACTTCTCAACAATAAGTAAGCAAATGAACATTTATACAACTTCTCAATGACGAGCAGTGTATATATACATATATACATATACATATACATATATGTCTTTTCATTTTCATATCTATATATGATGAGCAGTGTATATATATATTTTTTTTTTCTTTTCTTTTGTTTTCTTTTTTTTGAGACAGAGTCTCACTATATTGCCCTCAGTAGAGTGCTGTGGCATCATAGCTCACAGCAACCTCCAACCTCCCAAGTAGCTGGGATTACAGGTGCCCGCCACAGTGCCTGGCTATTTTTTGTTGCAGTTGTCATTGTTTAGCTGGCCCAGGCTGGGTTTGAACCCAACACCCTTGGTGTATGTGGCTGGTGCCATAACCACTGTGCTATGGGTGCTGAATCATATACATATATATATATATATGTACATATATGTGTGTATATATATTTATCTTTTCTTATTATTTTAGATTTTACTATTTCAATCTTTTAAAAATGTGGCTACTGAAAAGAAAATGGCTTATCTTTCCCTTTATGTCCGTAAGTGGCTCCCAGAACCCTCCATTTCTCTGAGTGCTGAATGATGGATTCCATGGGAAACAGTCTGTCATTCTTCCTACAAAGACTCTGCAGTCAAAGAAAAACTATGATCATAGCTAGCCCAGTGCAGCTTAATTATGCACTGACTACATCCTGGAATGCCACAGCACCATGAATTCTATAGTGCCAAAAGGGGCTGGCAAGTCTCTTTGCTAGGTCATAGATAAAATGCCTTGAAATGAAATTCCCTTTACATTAAACAAAATGACTCACTTGGATACTTACATGTATTAAAGACACCAGCAAAAACCCAGCATTGGCCATACCGGACTGGATTTGCAGAACTCTTATATTCCGAGAGAATGTCAACACTTCCGGTCCAGGCTGATGGAGGGACGCCATAGGCATAGATATTGTCCCAGGATCCAACGAGGACACCTTCATCATCTTTGGCATTAATCTAAATGAAGCCACAAGAGGTGATAAGGAAAAGAATATAGAAGAATCTAGAAGAGTTCTCTTCAGACTATGGCGTGGGGCTAGCTAAGGCTTCTCAATGTACCTTCAATATGTTCTATATGGGAAAAACAACCCCACCTCTGTTCAATGCGTTACATTATCAAGGACAATAATGAAAAAACTACACTTGAGCTTAGCCAAAGGGCTGAGAAGCAATAGGAAAGTGATGAAAAAACTAAATGTGTGTGGGAGATCAAATAATCAAGACTGCCTTTTAAGTTCATATTAATATAGTAAGGTGAAGCTGACAGCAGACTGGAGGAGCTGTGATCTCTTTCCCACATGATGGAGAGAAAATACACATAAGGCACTTAGCCAGAGCTAGACTAGTGCTAGAGAATAACATGAGGAAGACAGAATAAATACTCAGAAAAGAAAAAAGCTCAAGGAGGGATTGATCTTACCTTGGCGGAAGGAGGACTCAAAACTGACCAATGAGAAAGTAGAGCTCTTTTAGTGGTTTTTGATGTTTATTTTGAATGGCAGATTCTTAAGATATTAAAAAAGTGAGCAGATGCTGTCATAAAAACAATTAAGAGTTCTAACAAAACAAATTCCCATGAGAGCCTTATAGAATTGTTTTTTGAAATATTTCACGTAAGTACTCTATATATGTTCAAAGGGATTACCAGTTTTATAGTTTTGTTAAAAAGGGATTTCTATTAAGGGCCTAGGATGTTATGTTTTAAATTGATAGGAAACTCAGCAGTGAAAGGTAATCTTGAATATTTGGGAAAAACTTGCACCTTCAGACTATGCACACCTAGTAGCAGCAGACCGGAAGCATGGGAGCAAAGAACTTTTATGTTTAGGCAATAAAACAAAGACCAAGAAGTAACAGTTTCGAGGAATCCTGCCAATTTTTCTGTGTACTGCTGAATCTACCTCTTTTGTAACTTTTATCACCTTTAATTATAGTCAGAAGAGTCTTGGTGGAGAATAGCAGAAAGTTTTCCAAAACCTAGCACTGTGTCAACTATTTTTACAGTTGACATGACAATTGTTTAGAGCCTTGTTGCTCAAAGTGCGGTCTGTGGACTAGCAGTATTGACAATCCCTGAAAGATTATAGAAATGCTGAATGTCAGGCCCCTTCCAGACCTTATGAATAGGAATCTGCACTTTACCAAGTGCCCCAGGTGATTTGTACACACATTAGTGCTGAAACATAGGTATAGGTTATGCTAAAAAGACATTAGTAAGCAATATGAAAAAGATGACTAAAGCATTTTTTTTGAATTATGAAAACTAGAAGTGATATGAAAACATAGTGTGTTTTTTATGTGTTTACTGCCTTCCAGCTAACAGCTCAGCCTCAGCATCTGCCAAGACCCCTCTTTTTGGCTT